AATTATTTAAATTTTTTCAAACTTTTGTTGATTTTTTTTTTTTTTTTCTGTTGTTTTAGTCTTGTGCCTGCTTTGCACTGTTCAGAACTCTGCATGTTTGGTAGTTCAATGCGGTTGTTGATTTGCAGCAAGACAGGAGCTCTGCTGCATGAACTTCCTTCGAAGTGCAAAGCAGGTGAGTTCCTGCCGACACCCCCCCAACCCCCGCACCCTTTTTTTTTTTTTTCAGTCCGGACATCCCTGAACCTCGGATGCATGTCCGGACTGTCCGGTGTCCGGTGTTGTCCGGTGTCCGGTGGTGTCCGGAATACCGGACAGTCCGGACCGGTCCAGACAATGGTCCGTGAAACAGACCGGAAGTGTCTGGTGTCCGGGTCCGAGGTTACCATGATGACAATATATGACAATATAGTTGTCTTCAGTAGAACTTTAGAGGAGCTCACACAACACTTACATATCGTGTTGGGTCTTTTCAGGAAGCACTGGTACAAGATCAATACGGAGAAATGTGAGTTTGGACGCACCACAACCGTGTATCTGGGCCATGGAAAAACCCAAGATGGTGAGAAGGGGAGATGCAAAGGTGGCCACCATTAGGGACTGGCGAAGACCTCGGTCTATTCTTGGGGATGACAGGCTGTTCTTTGTCCATTTGTGAAGAATTATAGCACTATCGCGGGCCCCTCAAATGATGTTACACGCTGCAAGCATGCCTTCAAAAGGTTGAAGTATGCTCTGACTCATCACAAAGTCCTTAAGATCCCAAATCTTGATAAGCCGTTCATTGTTTTGACGAACGCTAGCCAATATGGGATAGACGACGCAGTCCTACAACAACAGGAGGGGAAAAAGTTGAGGCGAGTTGAGTACATGAGTAAGACGATGCCGTCCGAGAAGCTAACAAACTTCACTTACAAGAGGGAGTTGTATGCCCTATGTAAGGCATTGACCCATCGAAAGCATTATCTCCATTGCAAACATTTTGAAGTCCTATCTGACCATGAGACACTCTAATGGATCAAGACACAGCCCGCACTTTCCGACGCGCTGAAGTGTTGGATACAACTCCTTGACATATATGACTTCAGCCTTGAGCACGTCATCAGGAAGTACAATGTGGTAACTGATGCACTTTTGGGGAGGGCGGACTTCCTAGTTGCACCAGTGACTGAGTACGGCCTACGGGACAATGTAATTCGACAGTTAGTGGACGCCTACAAGGAGGGTACATCCACGGCCGAGATCATTCGCAGACTCGAAGCGTAGAATAAGGCTGTGTCTGACGAGTTTGTGATGGTTAACGATCTTCCCATCCTTGATAAGGTCCGGAATAAAAAGCTATGTCCCCAGTAAAGAGTCTTTTATAGTTTATTTCTAGGAGAATGTCACGACGAAACAGGCCACTTTGGGTACAAAAAGTCGTCAGCAAACTTACTGCAGCGTTTTTGGTCACCAACAATGCATAGGGATGCCAAGAAGGATGTAGAGACATGCCAGGTTTGTCAAACAGGACTTGGGCACCTCTTGGGCTAATCAAGCCTTTGCCTATTCCTGCTAAACCAGGAGAGAGTCCGTCCATGGACTTCACGAATTATGTGAGAATACTCTCGGTGAAGTGTCACCATCCCAATCGAGCTAAGTTTGAAGCAGAAAAGGTAAGCCATATGCACACTTCCTAGCCTCTCTACGTTACTACTCGGCCGTTTACAAGATCATAGTATGTGGTTGGCTGTTTTTTTTTTTTTTTTTTTTTTTTTTTTTGGTGTTTGGTCGTCTATTTTCCTTGACTGCGTTTCGTCGATTTTTGCCAATATGTCATTCTGATGTAGCCGATAATGCATGTGGTCAAAACCCTGCCCACAACCTTTTTTTGTTAACTTGTCCATTCTTATTTCTGCCTCTCGGTTAGTCGACTTTGATTATTTGTATCCTAGCCCCGTAATGGTCTTGGTCATTGTTTGGCCAGATTGGTGTTGGTGCCGTTGCACTGCCCGAAACCACAAAGACAGACCTTGGATTAAGTTGTTCATGGATCACTGGGTGAGGGATTTGGCCTTCCTAAGAAGTTGTTCATGGATCACTGGGTGAGGGATTTGGCCTTCCTAAGACGTTTCACAAGTGATTTGTGGAAGAAGGCCGCTCAGCAAATCAGGTCAGAATTGCAGATGACATCTGGAAATCGTCCCGAGACAAACGGACAAGGTGAAAAGATGAACCGGGTAGTACAGCACCTGCTGGCACAATGTCAAGCCCATCCAAGAGGACTGGGCACTATGTCAAGCCCATCCAAGAGGACTGGGATGAGAAGCTGCCTCTTCACCAGTCTGTACAACAACACTGTGCACACCTAATCAGTTACTATTGCGATGAGAGCCAAGGACTCCAGTAGACTTTATCAGAGTTCATCTACATGGCCGTAAACCAGCTCCTGCTCTGGGCAGTATTGAATTTGCAATGAACTATGAAAAAATGCTGCAGGAAACCATCGTGCAGATTCAGAAAATTCATGATGCCATGATAGCATCTGAGAACCGAAGCAGACAGGAGTCTAAGTTTCAGATAGGAGAGAGGGTTGGGTGAAGTTTTCAGAATCCACACAAAAAGTGAACATTTCGCACAAATTGATGCCTGATTATTATGGGCCATGGCACGGCCTAAACATCATGGGTTCTGACCCTGATGGCCCATCATACGTGATCCGATTACTATCTTCCATCCCTCCAAACTCCAACCTCTCGCTGAGAAGGAGTTTCCATCAAGGAGGTCAATGCTGCCCCCCAACTGTGGATGGATATGTCGACAACGATCAGAATGTGGAACACAGATTATTGCCTATATAGTAGCCTGTATGCAGAGGACGACTGCTGAAATCAGAAATGCAGTTTCAGGTCGCTTCAGGCATCATGTGGATCCCAAGGAAGATCGATGGTACACAAGAGAGGAGCTGATGAACACAGTCCCACAAATCGTATCTGCATAAGAGAGGACGATGGAGGGGACACAGCAAGTGGACTGAAGGTTTCTCTCGAAAGGCCCTACTCGCCTTAAGAAAAGGCAGGTCCGCAAATTTTGGCCTTGTGTGAGGATTGAGCCCTCAAGTAGGGGCCTTGCCATGATGTACATGTTCTGGGCTAACGCCCCAGCAAGCCTAGTGCCCGCCCTAAGTGAAGGCGGGCCAGCAAATCAACAAGAGCCCTCTGTGCCAACATTTCACGAAGTGGGGTCTATACAGTTGCAGCACGCCAGTTGGTTGGAGTGCACCGAGTCTCGGATTTCAGCAAATGCTGAAATGCCCAGGGCCTCTGAGTTAGTTAGGCCCTGGGCACTCGAACGTGAGGCCGACAATGCATGCTGGGTAGAGAGGCCGAAAATGCCAAAGGGAAATCGGCCCACTGTCTGAATCTGGCCGCAGGCCTTGATGAAGGAGGCGCAACTGCATTGCCCCGGGGCCCAACTGTATCGAGTTGGCTTCAGCCTCTGGGCCCCGGTCACAGGCTGAAGGGAGGCCGCCCACACGCTGCACTGGCATATAGGCAAGCAGGGCGAGGCAGCAGGGATCTTGGCCAATGCTGGCACTTGCGGGCACGCTGCGCGGATGCATGAGTGCTGCGCTGTGCAAGGCAGTGCTGCGCTAAGAGCAAGCAGGCCAGCGCTAGGCGGTAGGGCGGTGCCTGCACGCAAGGCACTGGCGGCCATAGCCGGGCCGCATGAGGGTGCAGGGGAGGTGAGGGCGAAGGCGGTACTTCGGAGGTGAAGGGCGTTGTGTGGGTAACAAGGGAGAGTGTGGGGAAGAGGACACGTACCTGGTGAAGGTGGAGGTCGGCATTGGTGTTGACATCATCACTCGCTGGTAGTCAAGTTGTCTGGTTGCTGTTCATTGCTGTAGTTGTAGGATAGGCTGTAGAGTAGATAGGGCGCCTGGCGCCATTCACAAGAGAGAGCTACATTTGGGTTATGCTGTTGGTGTTGCCCTGATGGGCATGGACATTGACTCACGTTTCTTCTGTATCATTCTCAATTGGATGGTTACTCGGTTCCATGTGCTATCTGCTTTGGCTTTGAATACTTGGACTTCAGTGTGATTTTGCTTTCTGGATTTCTGTGCTTCGTCCATACTCATGTTCCTTGCACTTGGCATTACTTCAGTGCACAAGCCATGATCTATAGGACTATAAACAAGTTATAGGAATCTTTAGGACTATAAACAAGTCATAGGAATTGATAGGACTATAAAACCATGGCGAGAGGAAACTGTGTTACAGGGCCCTGTGGGTTGGTTGCTGCATGCAGCATCTCCAACCGACCGGTAGGGCTCAGACTTTGGTTGGTTGAAGATGCGGAGGCCCAGTCAAGATACTGAGGCCCAGGGACTTACAGTTGAGCCCCGTGCAGATTCTGGAAGCGGCCCAGGGCGCTGCCACTGAGACAGGGGCACAGACTTTCCAGCCAGGCCACAAGTCAGCTAGCACAAAAGGAAGTGAGCCTTGCTCACCAGACATTTTGATTGGCTAGATGCAGCAGTGCTGCTGGAGCGCTAGCTCTTGCGAATGAGCACCATACCATGGGGAAGATGGCATGGCACGAGGAAGCTGCTTGGTGCAGCGAAGCAGAGAGGCGCAGCAGCCATAGCCGGGGTGTTGGCCACCATAGCCGGAGGAGGAAGGCGCAGGTCCTTGGGCAGAGGGGACTGTGGAGGAAGTCAGGGAGAGGGGGCAATGTAACAAGGCACTCACCTGGAGAAAGGGAGGCCAGCCGTTTGCACGGAGTCTTCATGCATTCACTGGGCTGATGATCTTCACAGCGAACCTGTTGTAGATAGGAGTCCAGGTCAAAGAGCTCCTTTTTCTCTTCTACGTTTGAACCATTTCTCGATTTATGTGTGTCATTCTTGCGCAGCGTCCATGCTAATGTTCTCTGTATTGTTACCTTTTAATGGATGTCCCAAAGGACTCTGTAGACAAATCCCAAACTTCAGCCAGACATCTTTTGAAATGACTTACCCATAGCGATGATTGTGTTCGTCTTGAAGGCCGGTACAAGCTCTCATCAAAACTCCCAACTCGGAAGTAGTCATCCAACAACTTGTCCTGCTCCGACAGCAACCAAATCGGGCAAAGATAAAAAAACAGGAAAAAAAACAGCAGCAACAACACGGACAGTTGATAGGCACACACACAAACAGCAGGTAAGGCCTTCCCACATGGCACACAAAACGACAAAAGCAAACGACTGAATCTTTCCAGTTTCTGTGGTAAGATGCAGTCAGCTTTTTTTTTGTTTCTTTTGTGACGTGTTGCAAGGTCCGCCCATAACCAAGAAAACAGAGATGGGACAGAGATTCGAAATGAGAATCACACACAGCAAGACTCTGACGTGTTACAGTGCAGCAGGCAGAACAGAGGAGGATCTCATCATGCAAGAACGAGTGCATCTTTCCAGGGTCTGTGGGAAGATGCACTCGACTCTCCAGTGTCACTACTATGTCCTTCATTTCATTTCTCAAAATCATCTTTGAGACAAACTGTTGCAGGAAGTCCCATCCTGGAAGCCCCATTCTGGAAGTCTTTGAGACCAACTGTTACAGGAAGTCCCATCCTGGAAGCCCCACCTTTTTCATAAGCGGCAATGGATGCATGCATCTATGTAATCCTCAGGGTTACAGCAAGTTCATTCTTGACTTTGGACTGTTCTCTTTACAACACCATGCTGAGCAGCACAATCCCCACCAATCAATCAATCTGCAAGGAACCACTTAGGTTCACTCTCCACACAACCTGCTCTTTCTGGCCCTTGTCCGACCGGGCCGCCCTCCGAGCCTGTTTTTGCCGAGCCTGAATCTCACTGCGCTCCAAGTTTTGCCGAGCCTGGGTCCCACTCCATTTTCTTTTCCCGTACTTTCACGGAAAAAACAACATAAAAAGAAGAAAAAAAGTCGCGGCCGTACAAAGCTTTGGCCGTGAAATGCAGTTGGATACATTCTTGGAAGTCGTAGTGTGAGTGTGCCCTCAGTGAGGGCATCTCAGCCCCGTGGCCAGAGTGTCAGATTCAAGAAATACAAAGAAAAAAAAAAGGAAAAACACAGATTTCGGCCGTGATATTGGCTGGATACGTTCCTCTGAGTGCCAGTGTGATCACGGTTGAGGAAACACAGCTTCAGCAAATCACAGACTATGCCCTGCCTCGCTGACAGGGGACTCGTAACAGTAAGAAAAGAAAGAGAAAAAAGAAAGGAACAGCATCCACAATCTGACCGTGCAGCAAGATTCATTCTGTGGACTAGTACTGTGAGCACGGCCTCCTAGACTACCCTGCACGACATCATTGCAGTAGAGAAAGTTTCTTCTTCTTTTTTTTTCCCTTTCACGAGCGGGCAATATAAAACTAAACTTTATTCTTCTTGCCGAGCCTCTGGGACCTCCGAACATTTCAAGGAAAACTGGGAAAACTCAGACTGCCAGTTTTCTCTATTTTCCCAACAGTGGCGGAGGTACTAGTGGTTTAAGGTGACCAGGGCAGACCAGTTGCTAACACAGCAAGGAAGTTCTTTTATCCTTTTTTTGTCCCGCTTAACATACTATGTACACAAATAATTTACTTTGGTTGAGCAGGTGCCAGGTGGTCAATACATACTGGTGATATTCACACAATGCAACGGGATGCAGGGAAGGGGCCATTGCACAAGGTGCAGGCCAGGATGTGGAGAAGGTTGTCGTGTGTATTTATCTGACAGGCATTTTGAAATCGCTGACAAACAAAAGCCACACTGAGTCACTGACTGCAATATGAATCATGACTCATGAGCATTATTAAAACTTATTTTAAGTTATTTACCTTCTCCATGAACAACTCGCGGCAGAAGTTTGCAATCTCTCCGTCCTCTTTCGGAAGATCATTCAAGTTGTACCGTCTGATGTGAAGATGAACCTGCAACATAACATGACCACATTCATAACATGCCAACGACATGCCATCTATATCAGAGACAGCCCCAAGGCCGAAGGATAATTTGATTATTAACACAAATATTTTTATGACTTTCTAGAAAAAAAAGGAAAAAAAGAGCGGAAAAAGAAACATGCAAAGCCAGCTCCAGCTTGCAAACATCGCCACTACAAACAAACCCTTCCAATCGAATGAAACCCCCATTGGGCATAGGCTCTTATCCCTGCCCGATGGGGGCGCCTGCTGATTGCATGGGGGGGAAAAGCAAACAAAAAGACGAAGTACAAACCCTTCCTTACTTCCTTTCTTTGCACATTATTGAGGTGGGGCCGTGGGGGTGAATTATTATCAAGCCATCAAAGGCTGTAATGAACCCAGTCAATCGGAAAGCTCGTCACGTCGAAATACAAGATGTCTCAGCGCAAGTCAATGTCTCCAATAATCATGAATGTGATCCCCAGTACAATGTCTCGTAACCAACGGACGAAGCTGAGAGGTGGGAGATTAGACTTGGAGGGTGGAAGAGAAAGTGTCTATCAAACGAAGATAGAACTCCTTCATGTCCCACTCCTTCGGGCATCTTCCCTCTGTCCACGTCAGCATACAGTTTTCCAAAGACGAGCCTGACAAGAACCGATCACAGCTTAGTGCCACGTAGGCACAGATCTCCCATGAAGACGTCACAGCAGTGCACAATGTCAACAGCATCAATCAGGTAAGCTTCTCTCTCTCTCAGAACCAATCTCACAGACCTGATCTCCCTCCTTGTCGACCCCAATCTGTGTCGAAGACAATGTGGCAAGCGCCACGTCAGCAATCAATACCCCAGCTGGCGCCAAGAACAGAGCCGCGCCAGCAACACAATGCAGCAGTCTTGCGTCGTTGTCACACACAATGCCAGCGTAGTGCCAGCGTCAAGCCAGCGTCGAGCCAGGGTCGTGCAGCAAGTGCAAGACTGAATGTCAATGAGCAGGGGCTGAGTCAATAAGTAGTGTAGTCGCAAGCTGACCAGCCTCTGGTCTCCCGGATACAAGGGCTCAGATTCACTCGCAGTCAATGTCCTGGATCTCATGCAGTTGCAGACTTCCACTTCGACCAGATTTTGCCTGGATACCTGCGTACAGCCAAATGTGTGTGCCTGATCGGTGGCCTGGACTGGGTCCGTGCAAACTTTGACTCGTGCGCCTCAATTTCCGAGCTACAATTCAGTGTTGACTTTCTTCGGTCAACTATTGGGCTTAGGGCCTCTGAAGCCTCGTTTCGAGGCCTCGTTTGGGTACAGTCTGGCGCAAGGCCTTGCTGTGGCCTGTGAGCGGCCCCTGGCCGACGACAGTAGCATATTTTGAGCGGGTTATTACATTCCTGCCGGCCCAATCTTCGAGTTCCATCGCAGAAATTTCAGCTTTAGGCTAGGTTCCCTTTAGTTTTTTTTTGCTAAACCATCTGGCTTCAGACGGGGGTTGAGATTTGAACTTTACCTTAAACTGCTTTTGTGGCCTTCCTCTACCACCTGTAGAAAAGTATCCATGCTCTAGTATCTTTTCAACTTCATATCCTCCATTCATAGAGGGAGGAAACATGGATGGCCAGTTAGCCTTCTACATATGGCAGTAACTTGAAGAGGCGTGAAAGACGGGATATGTCTTGAGGTGTGGGGGTACATCTATTATGTAGGAAGGTCTATCAATGCCCCCTATCACCTTGAGAACTTCCCACGGTCCATAATAGACAGGCAACAGTTTCTGTGACACGTTCTCTTCTAAGGAAAATTCTTTGGACTTGACTTAACAAGATCTCCTTCTTGAAACTGTGATGGCCGACAATCTTTGTTGGCCTAATCAATCATTTGTAATTGGGCTTTTTGAATATTTTCCTTTACTTTCGTTATGTCTTCTTGGGGGTAGCCGTTGGACGTGGTCCCCAGTCAAAGCATCAATGGGACGTCACGACTTCCAACCTTTCTGAAGTGCATTCGGTGTTCGGCCTGTGACTGTATGAACACTGTTATTATATGCACTCGCAATCTTTGGCAAGTCTCATCCCAATCAATCTGATCTAGCCGTACATACATTCGCAAAAGTTGTTGGCCCCAACGGTTCATCTGTTCAGTTTGCCCACTCGTTTCAAGGTGCCTCCCTGACGACATAATCAATCGGGTTTGCCACTGCTGGTCAATGAACCATACATCCCGATCAGAGACGTTGGTTTTTGAAAATCCGTATTCCAAAACCCATCGCATCTGAAACTTCTGGATGACGAGTTTCGTTCTTGCTTCGGCAGGGAAAGGAACAAACATAGCATACTTAGAGAATCCATCCACAATGGCCATTACTTGACTGTTACCATTCCGACTCTTGGTGAGACTCATGAAGTCGATCAAGATGGACTCACCTGGTCCGCTTGGAATAGGTAGTCGTCGCAATAGTCCCAATGGATTCTCATGCGAGGGTTTGTTGCTTTGGCAAACAAGACAGGTTCGCACACATGTTAGCACATCTTCCTTCATTTCTTTTCATTCAAAGTTCTCTCTGACATTGGCAAATGTCTTCTTAAACCCGAAGTGTCCTTCATTGTCATAACATTCCCCAATAATCATACTCTTAATTTCTTCTTTGTGAGGAATGCAAATTTTGTCTTCGGTTTCATCCATAAAAAAAAGCAAGTTGTTTAGTCATACGTTATTCACGTAAGAGTTCAAGATTTTTCTGTAGGGTTTGGATGATAGGATTCCATATAGGATCCCTAACATACCCTTGTCGATATGATCCTTCAACTTTAACCCGATGTCAAGGTAGGAAACAATTGCACCAACGAAATCAGAGCGCCTAGACAAAACATCAACAACAACATTAGATTTCCGTTTAATTGTTTTCAATGTGTCGATGAATGAAGACTATCTCACTAACTTGTCGAAGAGTCATGGTTGAGTCTTAATCCACTTCAAGATTGAATGATCAGAGTAAATCGTGAAGTGTCGTTCGAGCAAGTAGTGTTTCCAAGTGTTCAGCACTTCAACCAAGGTATACAATTCCCTTTCCTAGGTTGAGTTAGCTACCTTATCAGATGGAAGGTGTTTAGACATAAATATATCGCTTCCCATCATCCTGTTGTAGCACAACCCCAATCCCAAACTGACTAGCATCAGTTGTGAAAATGAAAGGGAGTGAAGGGTCAACAATCTTCAAAACAGGGTAGTGAGTTAGCATGTGTTTCAATTTCTTGAATGCGGACTCGCAATCTGCATTCCATAACCAAGGTTTTTTTTTTCTTCAACAATCTTCTCATGGATGCAATTATAAGAGAGAAGTTCCTTACAAACTTCCCATAATAGCTAACAAGTCCTAAGAAAAATCGCAATTCAGTTACAATCTTGGGTCTGGGTCAATCTTTGATTGCTGTAATTTTCCTTTCTTCTGGCATTGGTCCTTCTTCATTTATTATATGTCCAAGATATAACACCTCAGACTTAGCAAATTTTGACTTCTTAGGATTTAACTTAGTTCCCTTCTCTTAACTTCCCTAAAACCATTCGTAGGTGTTTCTCATGGTCCTCCAGCGTCTTGCTATAAACGAGGATATCGTCGAGATACACAACTACAAATTGATTTAGCCACTGTTTTAATATATTGACCTTTCAAAAGTCGTCGGTACATTATTCAGTCGGAAAGGCATAACCATAAACTCATGGTGTCCATACCTGGTTCGGAAGGCAGTCTTGTGTTGATCTTCAGGTGCCACCTCGATCTAGTGGTATCATGACTTTAGATCAATCTTGATGAAGTATTCACACCCCTGCAACTGATCAACCACATCATCAATGCGAGGAAGGGTTTCTACGTTCTTGACAATAACGCAATTCAATCCACGGTAATCTATGAACAACATGAGTTCTTCCTTTTGGGCACAAGTAAAACAGGTGCACCATAGGAAGAGGAACTTGGTCTAATCCATCCTTTTTTAGTTAGTTCTTGCAGTTGTTTCTTTAGTTTTTCCAATTCCTTCGGTGACATACGATAGATTGGTCCCTTAGGAATTTTACTACGGGAATGATTTCAATCGTGCGCTTGATGGCACAATCAGTTACTCCCGTTGGCTCACACTGGAAGTCCTTAAATGCAGTTAATAGTTTATCAATAGAAGATGGGTGGGACGAGGAACATCCACCTACTCGTTTGACGAGTACCATCATCACATCATGAACCGACTTCTTCTTCGTGACCATACTCTTGAAGGCAAGTAGACTCATGCCACAAAAAGACAATGATGAGTTTAAACATCTATGAAACAATTTAATCGGTTCCATGTTGGATTTTTCATCCTTTATTTTAACAACCTTATCTTTGAACTTGATATCTGGATCGGCTTCCTCGCGCCAATCCATTCCCAAAATCATGTCAAAGGGTAGGTTCTTTTTAACAAGGTGACTTAATGCAATATTAGTTCGAAAGTAACATTTCACACGACTGACAAACTGTGAGACAATAATCATGCTCTTGTCCGCAACCATAGGCGTAAGAGTTATGGGCAAATCATGCTCCCTCTTTCCTAAATGCAGCGTTGTCGAGCGGGATCCCCGGGGGCGAAGCCGGTGTGAGACAGCGGCCCCGAACCTCCGCCACGGGGACCATCCACCCCCGCCCCCATCGGACGACCCCCGCCGCCGCCCAGCCGCGGGTACCCCGTCGTCCAACCCCGCAGGCCCGCCACCAGCCCTGCACAACAGCCCCCGCACCGCACCCCCGCCCCCGCGACCCCGCTCGGGGA